CAAGTCACTGAAGTCCTCAGTGCCCCGGGCAAGGAGGCACCACCACCCAGGGAACTACCTTCCTGTTCCTCGATCTCCTTACTGTGGCCATTTTCAATGGCTGTCCCCTTGCTTGGAACACTCTTCCTCTTCATCTCTGCTTCTGGGTTTGGGGTTCCTGATCCGCCATTTGGGGCGCTGCCTTCTTCCTGTTGATTATCCCTAGTTTATCCTGCACACATCTTCTTTGTACACACTTGTGTTCATCTTGTCTTCTCCATTAGACTGTGAGCTCCTTAGATGCAGGGACTATCTTTTACCTTTCTCTGTATCCCCAGTACCTGGCACTTAGTAGGTGCTTAATAAATCCTTATTGACTGACTGATGAAATCACAGATCCAGCCCTAAAACAAACAAATAAACAAACCTCCCAAATAAAAAAAGCATATGTTTGGTTATCACTCTCAAAATCCCCCCAAAATCACAAAAAAACTGATTTTTTGATGATGGAGTTACTCCTTTTCTCAGCAAACAAACGAAAGTGGAAAACAAATAATGTATCACTTATGTATTGAACTTTGGCACATTTTGAACTTAGTGTTGCTCCCATCACGACGGAGTTATGAGAAGACTGGGAATCAGTTTGTCCTTGTTATCAGGAAATTAGCTCCACGAGTAGCCTGAATATTAGGGAACAGGGTTGCTTTTCCATGGAAATTTTCTGTATCAGCAACAGACTCCAAAGAAAGAATGATTAATGAGGGTCAATAGGGCTCTGCAACCAGGGTAAACCCCATAGGAATTGGCAGAAAAGGAGAGAAGTGACGGAAAAGTTTTGCCAAATTTGGCCAACGGAATTTTCTTCTTGTAGAGAGAGCATCTGGATTCATAGACTGCTCAAAATGTACCTGATCTCTGGCCCTAGTCCACGTAGGTCAATATGATAACTTATAAACACCAAGCCAGCCATCAACTGACTAGGCTGGATGCCCCTAGAGGATGAGAGTGGTATGGAAGCCTCAGGGAGTAAAGTTCCATTCTGTTCCATTTATGGACAGATGTATCAAATCCATTCTACTCTAGGGATCAGAGCTAGTAATTTCAGAACTTGAGGCAAATATCTCATAATAGAGATTGGGAGGTGCCAGGGGAAGACTTGGAGACCAAGATACTATGAGGTATCTAGGGAGGCTACCACTAATATAGGTAGTAGGGTGGGTCAAGCCAAGACAAATCCATCTGGAGTGTGGGAAAGCCTCCAGATCTCACCTCACCAGACATGTGCTGGCCTTCACCTTCATTGTTCCATAAGTCATATTCCTGTAAGCCCTAGAATTGGATAGTGTGCCCTACTAGACGCACTCACACTGGGGGAATGGTAACATATCAACCAGAAAGTCTGGCCTATACCCCTGTGGCAAAGCCAATGATCCAGAGTCCTTCAGCCTCTGTTAGGAGACCAATGAGGGAGGAGGAGTGGATAGCCTATGTTGGGGGGGGAGGTGGGGAGGCAAGGAAGAAATGCAGCAGCAGGGGAACCTGTAGCGCAGACATCTTCCTGGATTCCAGGATGATGTGAGAATGCTCCAATGGCAGAAATAAGAGGAAAGCCACTGAGGACTGGGAAAGTGGTAGAAGAATTGGAGCACTGGGAATACTGGAGCCCAGGATAGCAATCACACCACAGATGTTGGGCACCACTGAGAAGGCCAGTGGAGAACAATGAAGTAGGAATGCCAGGCTAGAAGACTACTCAGAGAGAAAGTATGCCTCTAAATTTCAGCACAAGGGGTAAGGTAGGACAAAGTCCCAGCTGTCCCACTCTAGTTATGGTTCTGCTTTGGACCCCAAACTTTATTGGCCTGCAAAGAACTTCACAGAGAATCAACTACTTAGAATCCTTTAGGTAAGCATCTGTGTCCAAGGGAAACCTCCCTGGAACTAGGACAAACTAATGTAGACACTACCCCCTCTGAATGTGCCACTAAACCTGCTCTTTGCCCGAAGTACTCCCCTGGAAACAACCCAACTTCTTGATGTAGTGATTGGAGTAGGGCAGCGATATATCATCTCCTTTTTTCAGTGTTTACCTAATTATTTTCACTGCTCAGTTACAGTCTTAGCAAAAATGGGTACTAAGGCTATGTTTTCGCAGCTTGAAAAAAAATATTGAAAAACATTTTGACTAATTGCTTCACTGAATGCATTAAATTTTCCCACTAAGATTGGGTCGAGGGGCAGCTAGGTGGCGCAGTGGATAGAGCACCAGCCCTAGATTCAGGAGGACCTGAGTTCAAATCCGGCCTCAGACACATAACACTTACTAGCTGTGTGACCCTGGGCAAGTCAACCATTGACTAGTCAACCCCATTGACTAGTCAAAACAAAACAAAAACCAAAAAAAAAAAAAGATTGGGTCGACATAATACCACAAGTGGCATTCCCTTCAAACTAGTTGACAAGGATAACACAACAAGTTCTCAAGATATTCCTCAGGGTCAAGATGGACAGACGTGGACTAGACAGCCTGGTAGATTAAAAGCAACATGGCCTAGTGGAAAGAGTACTGGACTTCAAATCAGGAGGACCTGGGTCCAAATCCCAGCCTTGAAATGTACTATCCAAGTGAACTTGGCAAATGACTTAACCTCTCAGAGTTCCACTTTGTTCATCTGCAAAATGGACACAGAAATACTTGTACTACTTAACCAATAGGGTTGTTGTGAGAGAAGTGTGCATAAATACTAATGTACTATATAAATGTATTGTTTTTGTTAAATGAATTTGGAATTGGCTAACTGGCTGGACCCCAAAAGTCATTACTGGCAGGATGTCAACTTGGAAGGAAGTTTCTAGTACAATGACCCAGGGTCTTTGACCTAGTACTTTTTGAAAATATGTTTCTCAGGGATTTAGATCAAGGCATAAATGGTAAGCTTAACAAATTTACAGATAACACAATGCTGAGAGAGATAGATAACATGTTAGATAATAACATAACAAATTTGTATCTGGAAGTGACCTTGGAGGCTACCCCCATTCTACAGACAAGGAAACTGGTCTGAAACAGAGGTTAAGTGAATGGCTGAGGTTCACACAGCTAATAAGTCTGAGGCAGAATTTGAAACCAGGCTTTTCTGACTTCGAATCCAGGGCCCTCTCCACTTCACAAGGACGTCCATCACAAGAAGAGAGTCAGGATCCAAAAAGACCTCAACAGATGAAAGCATTTGGCCAAATCTAATAAAATCAAACACAACAGTGATAAATGTAAAGTCTTACACTTGAGTTTAAAAAAAAATCAATAACACAGCGTGATACTGATAGGTGGCGCACCAGCCCTGGAGTCAGGAGGATCTGAGTTCAAATCTGGCCTCAGACACATAATACTCACTAGCCGCGTGACTCTGGGCAAGTCATTTAAACCCAATTGCCTTACCAAAAAAAAAAAAAAAATCAATATCCCAAGTACAAGATGAAGGAAACCTGGCTAAGATAGCAATTTTAAAAGGATCTCGGTAAGCTTATAAGAGTCAAGAGGGAAATTTAGTTACATGGCATGGTAGATATAGTGCTAGGCCTATAATCAAGAAGACCTGAGTTCAAATTTGATCTCAGACATTTACTAGCTGTGTGATCCTGGGCAAGTCATTTAACTTCTGTTTCCCATAGTTTTCTAAACTGTAAAATGGGAATAATAATAGCACCTACATCCCAGGGTTGTTGTGAGAATCTAATGAGATAATACCTGTAAATCACCTGGCACATAGTAGGAGGTATGAAAATGCTAAGGTAATGATGATAATGGTAGTGGTGGTGGTGGTGGTGAAGACTCAGAAGATCTTCAGCTAAAATAACATGGAATCTTCAGCCAAAATAACGTGGAATAAGAAGGCAAATATTATGTTCAGTTTGAGTTACCAGATTTTAGAAAGGACATCAATAGATTGGAGAGTGTCCAGAAAAGGAAGACCAGCATGGCAAAGAGCATGAAGTTTATGTTTTATCAAGATCATCAGAAGGAACTAAAGCAGTTAGCCTATGAAGAGAGGATTCTGAGGACCAGAAAGAAGGTTCTGGAAGAGGGGTTCTACTTGCTCTGATTGGTTCAAGAGTGCAGAACTGGGAACAGTGAGTAGAAGCTGAAGAAAGACAGATTTGGGTTCAGGGTAAGGCAACACCTCCTAAGGATCAGCACTGTCTATAAAGGAGAATGGGCTCCCTCCAAAGGTGGTAGGTTCCTGCTTGCTGAGGGTATTCAAGCAAAGGTTAGATGACTATTCATGGGGGATACTGTAGGAGGGGATTCTTATTCTGGTCTGGGTTGGACCAGAGGACCAACTATAAGGTCCCTTCTAAGAACAATATCCAATAAAATCTGTCAACTTGGTAAAATAAATAAGTTAAAACAACAACAAAAGGCCCTAATTAAGTATATTGAAAAATGTCAGTGTATCTTATTTTGCATAACAGGTGGTAAACCTAAGGAATCTGCTACATGCAAAGGTTGATACAGATTGAGACTATAACTGCCTGCTCTGCAAAAGGTCAAAATGTATTCATAGATTATAGATCCATGATAGGTTATTTCAGGTATAAGTGGGATTAGATGACCACTGTGGTCCCTTCTAACTCTCAAAATTCTATTGTTTCTAGGAAACTAGGATGTTTAGGAGAATGTCTTTAACATCTGAGGTTCAAGCCCACAAACTATCCCTTGGTGCCCCATCAGATCTAGGATCCTGGGCTGAAGGGATCTGGCCTAGGATGGTTCAGTTGTCTGTTTAAAATCAATCCAACTAAATAGCTTTGCATTATGAAAATACCAGGTGAAAACACCAACCTAACTACATTTTTTCACGTTTCAACCAATAGTATTGGTTGTGTAGACAAAGCCTCAGTTGACAGAATTGACTAGATGTCTGAGACTGTATGATTCCAATGTGTAGACTCAGCAGCACAGTGAAAACATTTGAAACACCACAGTGGGGGAAAATAACTTGGAAAAACTGGATATTTACTTGAGTTTTTATCTGGCAACCGGTCCATCTTCCACACGATCGCCCTATAGGCACTCTCATATTTTGCTGTTCCCAGCGTGACCTGGATGACAGGTTCCGATTCTGGTTCATGTACAGAGCCAAGGCACGTCCGGCGGTTCATTTTGGCCTTTAGGGACTTCTGCCTCTGGAGGTTCATGGTCCAAAGCGCTTTGATCCACTGGGCAGGGACTGGAAAATGTATCATTATATTGTCACAGAACCTCAAAGGACCAGAACGGGCTGGAGTCAGAGCAGATGAGGCCATGTTGACAAAAGCCTGAAGTTCAACATACGCACCCTGGACAACTACGGCGGACTTCACAGAAAATGGAAGGTCCTCCCCATCATATGAGGTCTTGAAACGCATCAGCTCAAATCTACAAGCATCCAACGGCGAAAACTTAATGATCCTCAACTGCTCAAACTCTTGTGCTTTCACACACTTGTGAAAATGGTATTCAAGAATTTCAATACCTTTCTTTTCTGGGTCTCTCTCAAAATAGCGCTCATCTTTCTTCTGCAGCTCAAGGTCATTTAAGGCTAAAAAGCACTCTGTATTTCCATTCACAAAGCAGAGGCAGTAGATGTGGGTAACTACAGCACTTTCAACTAGCCTTCCTTCTTTAGTGACCTTTCCCCAGAAGTTGTCCACAATTTCCAGGGAAATTTCTTGTTCTTCGTAGTTTCTTTTTTGTTTGGAAAGAGGAGGGAGTTTCATCAGTTCCTCATCTACCACTGTCAAAAATTCAAGGAAATCATGGTAGTCTGTAGTCCCCAGTTTTAACATCTGCTCTACTTCTGGCTCGTGGACTACTTCTGTCTTAGAATGGTACTTCCTTTTTTCTGTATACGTCACATGCTCAATCTTCACAGTGTGGATTTTCCCTGACATGCTAAAGTTCTCTACTTTGGGTTCAGAGAGTCTGCAGTATGGGTCCAACTGAAGCTCTTTAAATGGTTTCTCTAATCCTTTCTCATAGTACATTTGCAAAATACCCCCAGGCAAGACTTTAAGGAATATCGGGCCCCATTGTCTAGAAGACATCATATTTTTCTTCTCAGGAATTCTAAGCATGAAGGACCACCCAACTTTCTGCTGACTTTGGAATAAACTATGGGGGACAAAGGAAGGGCTGCTGTCTCCAGTGTATAGACACTGCATAGATAGGCTTCCAATTGAGTCTGTAGCATTATCTGTAGCTTGCAGGTGTTCAAGTCTTTCACATACATAGTTGAATGAACATTGATTGAGACTCTTCTGTTCAGGAGGTGCCATCTTTCTGCTGGACCTTTGATCTTTTCCCTCAGGGTCAAAAGTGAAAGGGGAGACGCTAGGTAAAGACCCTTCTTTCCAAAATGGACTTGAAAAAGCACAGTCATCTTGAAAATATTGAAACTGTGTAAAGTTATGTTGATGGCCTAAGATTTCAGATTGGTGAGGGTGAGGGTTCCTTTCATCCACAAGTTCAGTTTTGACATCTGGAAACTTACACAAATGATCACTGGGTATGGATGAATGGGCGGGATAACTGAGTTTAGAAGGGAACAATGAAGACTCTGCCTCTGGTGTTGGAAGTGGGCTGTTTGAAGGCCATTCAGGAATAGGATAAAGTGCGTGAATGCCCCCTGGTTTGGGAATACAAGGAAAGCCAGGGTAGTCTTTGGTAGGTGTGGAAAGGGGAGAGTTACTTGGGGGCCCTGGACTTAGGTAGAAGTCCACAATGGGAGAAGAAAGAGGGGTACCACTTGTAGAAGAAGAACCATAGGATTCCTTGAGGCCAGGAAGATTCAGCTTAAGTCCATTTGGTTTACAGATGCTGTGATTCTCCAGTGGAAAATTCTTTGATTTTTGAGGGGACTGACAAAGTGGTTCATCATCAAATGTGACCCAGCCGGCTGGGTTAGCAGAATACATTCTGGAGGATCAAGCAATGCACTTGCTGGTGTACCAGGCATAAAGTACCTGTTAAAAGAAAAAAAAATTAATAGATTTGCACCTAAGTAGAAAAGTATCCAGATTTACATGCTATCTTCCTTCACGGAGCTAAAAACATAGAGCACTTTTTGGTTCAATTTAATTTAACAATATTTTATCATCCAACTACATGGGAAAGAAAAGAATCATAAGTGTACAGACCTGTGGAAGCTGCATCATAAAGTGCAATCCTTGCCTCAGAGCACTTGCAGTCTAACTGCTCATCTAATGATGAGTGAAATAAGTCAAGGCTTAGTTGTTTTGTTTTTTATTAACAACAGCATAATCATCAATAATAGGCAAATTATGTGGTATGGCAATAACCCTAGGTTCTTTACAGATATGCCAGTGGGAAGCCAGCTTGGGTGGGTTCTGACAAATTAAAATGGCTCCAAGTATGACCCCAAGGATTGACTATGCCTGCCATTCAAAGAAGAGCCTGACTAAGGAGACAAGGTCTTCACCAGCAATTTGGTTCTCAAATGATGAATTATTTGGATATGGTGATCCATGAATTAGATCAAAATATTAAAATGGTCCCCAGTACTGTGTGATCCTTTTATAGCACCTAAAATACTAAGTTAACTGTTGGTACTCAATGCAAGATCTCTGTCAGTCAGTCAATAAACATGTATTAAGCACTTGCTATGTGCCACTAAGAACCAGGAATAAGTGGCAGAAGACAGTTCCTGCCCTCAAGGAACTTACAATCTAATGGGGGAGACAACAAGCAAACAAATATATACAAGCAAGCTATATACAAGATAAAAAAGGAAATAATTAAAAGAGGGAAGAAATTAGAATTAAGAGAGGTTAAAAAAGGCTTCCTATAGTAGATGGGATTTTAACCGGCATTGTCCATTGACCAATGAGTCAAAATATTATTGGAGAAACTAAACAACAGCCATACAGACATTTTCATTATAAACAAAGCTGATGAAATAAAGAAGTTAGAGAGCAATAGAAGGATGGCTCACTATTTCTTCTTGTAGTCACCAAAAATGCACTCTGGGTTGGTTTCATTGTGTGTTCAGGGTGAACAAGAAATATTATTTCATGAGACACTTGACCATCTCATTTTGTAATGTTCAAGATGAGAGTAGGCAAGGGGCTCACCAGAAGAGAGTTATAGCTTTGTACTAATATCTGTTGCAGAAAAGGAGAGATATTGGACAAAAAATTTGACAAGACGCTTCAAACCAAGTCAACATATGAGGAATAACCTTAATACTTGGGGAATTTAATACTAGATAAGTTGGGCATGGCAGAATGGTGAAAAAAATATCCTATATTTCCCAGGATTAGGGAAAAAGCAAAGGGTTTCTAGATTTTACAGAAATCACATGCTTGCATATCATGGACGTTTTCCTCAAGATGAGAGTCAGAAAATAACAAGAACTCAACAAAAAAAAAATTAAATTGACTATATCTTAACAAAAACAGGAAATGACTAAGGATATTTTCAGAATAAGTTCTCTGTGTGCAGTAAAATCATCAAATGGTTAGAATATCAAATTAGAAGAAATTGGAGGAGACAATATAAGCAATTGTAACTCCAATCTAACTTATTTAAGCAAGTTTACTCTGAAAATGGGAAAAGGATAGAAGTAGTTATCATTTCTAAGGGAAGTCTAATCAATGTAAAACAATGCCACAAAGAAGACCCCCCCCTCAAAAAAGGGCCCCAAAATGGCTCAGTCAGCAAATATTTGATTTTTCTGCCAAGCAGAGAGATGTGGCAGCCAAGGATAACATCAATTTAAAGTACAATCTCATTTGCAAAACATAGCAAAGGAAGATGGCAGACTACATGAACAATAATTGTCTCATAAAACAGCAAAAGGTAGTGAAGAGGGAAAATAAGCCTGGAGATAACATGGCATGAGACCCAGCTAAACAAGATTATCCCCAGAGTATTTGAAGATGAAACTGGAAGGAGGGTAACAAAAATGTGAAATGAAATAGATTGGTCATGGATGGCACAGTGACCATTTTTCATCATTTTTGGCTATGGTCAAAATACCACCACATTTGGTCTTTACCCCCCTCAGCACCTGTGGTGTTATATAGGAGGGAGGTGAAATAACACTCAAGAAAATTAAGTTGGGAATGATGGCTAGGACCTGACCAAATAAAGACCAAAAAAATGTGTTGGAGGCACAATTTCAAAGGCATTCAAAACAAGTTTCAAAATATCTTAGAGAAAAAGTTCCAAAAGAATGAGGAAGAATCATTAACAGCACTGATATTTTTAAGTGACTAGGAAGGCATCATGACTCTTAGTCACCTTTTTTTTTTTTTAATAACATAGATTCTGAGATTTTTCCCCCTATATCTTTGGTATCTTACCCTCCTTCAGATATAATGAGAAATGATCTCTCAAGGCCTTCAAAATCATGTTGCACCAAGAATGGGCCTTCCCTGTCTATACCTGACATAGTACAGCTGTTTGCCATCTTTGTTATTTCCAATGTCATTCCCACTTCCTCTACATCATCAGGGACTGTGATATCCAAAATCCAAATATGGTGACTCTGTTGCTCTTGATGGTGAAAAAGAATTTGTTGTAGATATCTTCGTAGATTGGTCTAAGAACACCCCAGAGTGTCCAGGTTGCCACTCAAAGAAGACTGGGTTAGTAGTAATCCACATGGGAAAACCAAGCAGATGAAGAAGGCATATCACCCAGACTATGAAATATAGTTGGATGGACAACGATAACAAGAGTAGTTCATATTGACATGGTGTTTCAAGGCTTGCAAAATGCTTAACATAACACTGTTTCATTTGATCTTCATAACACCCCTTTGTTTTCATTGATATTATCATTTACAGATTTAGAAACTGAGACTGAGAAAAGTTAGTTTACTAACCCAATGTATCATAGCTACTAAGTGTCTTAGATGAGAGTCAAACACAGCTCTTCCTGAAACCAAGTCCAGCGGTCTATCTGCTAAGCAATACTGCCTCTCCGGATAATTCATGAAATGAGTCCATCAGCATATCTATCTTGGACAGGAACTGCATATGAACAATGTACTGAACCCCAATTTAACTAAAAGAAGAAATCTGGATGGACTAGATTACATTTGTACAATTGTGCAGTGTTTTCATTTTTCAATTTTTTTAAAAAAGGAAACACATTTATTAAGCGCTTACTGTGTACCAAGCACTTTATAAATATTATCTCATTTGATCCTCACAACAACCCTAAGAGGTAGGTGCTAATATCACCTCCATTTTACAGTTGAGGAAACTGAGGCAGACAAATTAAATCTCAAACTTTCGAGTATTTCAGAGGCAGGAGAGGGTCTGTACCAAAGAGTGTTCACATCTATCACCACAGAGGCAGCTAGAATGCTGGATGTGGAGTCAGTACCTTCTGAGTTCAAATCCACCCGCAGACACTGACTAGCTGTGTGACCCTGGGCAAGTCACTTAACCTCTGTCTGAGCCTCAGCTTCCTCATCAGGAAAATGGAGATAATCATAGCACCTACTCCCCAGGTTTGTTGTGAGAATCACATGAGATAATATTTGTAAAGTGATTTACAAACCTTAAAGTGTTAGCTATCATTATTACTATTACAGTTCAGGTCCTCATCAATTCTCATCTTTGGTGTTCATGCTCCTACAGATGCCACAACAATCTTCCTAAGGTACAAATCTCACTCTGACACTCTTCTGCTCAAAAACCTTCCAGGGATCTCTATTATCTCTAGGACAGAAGACAAACCCCTCAGCCCAGTGTTTGGTTCCAACCTACCTTCCTACACTTATTTCACATTATTCCGCATCACATTACCTAGGTTCCAGTCAACTGGACCACTAGCCGTTCCTTGATCTTAGCATTTCAACTTACTCCCCTGTGCATTTGAACATGATTCCTAATCCCTAGAATGTGCTCTTCCTTCATCTCCATCTTTCAGATTCTTTATCTTTCATGGCTGAGTTCAGATAGCACCTCCCCAATGAAGGTTGATTCTTCTCTCCAATCATTTACGTTTTATTTGTCCACAAATTATCCTTTACTTACCTATCAATGATGTTGTGCCTACTGCTCGTTGACTACTGAAAAGCTTATTGTACTTAATGTTTGTTAACTATAAAAAAAATGTTTATTCAGCAGAGCCAGTACTTTCTGAAAGGCTCTCTTCTAACAAGGTGCCTCCTATGCATTTATCAAAATTATTAATGGTTCCCTAAAAGATGTAACAATACAGAACAACCTTCTGATCTTTAATATCAAGCAAAGCATAAAACACGGAGCCATGTGCTCACCAGTAACATTCACCACTGTTGTGGAGAAGATCTGAGAAAGAGATGAAGTTGAAGAGAGATTCTCCACAGATAGTGAGCTTCTCCACTTGCTCACATTTGCAGATTTCATTATACTGGTCGCATCAAGCTCTAGAACAGTGTAGAATCTCCTTGACAAGATCTGTAATTCAAGAGTTTGGCCCTGTTATCCACAAAGGAAAAACCAAGTGGACGATGCCTTTTGTCTACGTTATGACACATGAACAGTCAAACAACCAACAGAACTCAGCCAGCAACATGAGTATTTTAGACAGTCAGTGTAAATGGACAATGAGTTGGGTCCAGTATTAAACAGGAGGAGGAAAGTGGGCAGAATTGCTTCTGGGAAACTGCAGACTTCCTTTAATGACCCCAAATTTCTTGAAACAAAGGCCTACCTTTTAAATACCAATATTCTGCTGGTATTGTATGACCATGAATCATGGAACACTATATTCTCCAAAGAATTTGATACCATGTTTAAGCATCACTTAGAAGGCAATGAAAAGGTACATAGTGGCTATGAGCAGACTGTAACATATCAACAATTAATAGGAAGAAGAACCAGAGAAAAAAAGATTCAATAAAGAAATATAAAAAAATATAAATATAATAAATATAAAAAAGTAATGTGGAGAGAACAAGTTTCTACTAGTTGATAGCCTGTGGACTCCATTGAAGTGTTCAAGG